CATGGGCATGCATGCAATAGAAATCGTTAAATCATCAACAACAAGAAAGAAAAGAGTGGATTACAAACTTTTTTGCATTGATAAATGACAGAAAATTTTGGGTTGATATATTTTTTTCTTCTAGAAACCTGATTTCTTGAAGCCTTCTCCACTTCGTCAAGTGCTTCAACAGCAACTTTGTTCCAAAATTCATTATCAGAATCATGAGAAACTTCCTCCTGGGATTTAAACAGTAATGCAAAAAAAAACTTAGGGAATAATAAATTGTCATAAAAACAAAACTGATGGGCAATTTGAAAATCATTTCTTGTAGGACAGCATCAATTGAAAATCTCAAATTGATAAGTTATAAGGGAAGATAAACAATAAAGGCAAACACTTACCACAGGGGGCACATTGACAGGTTCCTGTTGACCATCACGATGTCGAATGCGAGGAACATTTGAATGCTTTGATATCTGGATTCGCTTTTTGGAGCTCTCGTTCACTGAATTGAGCAAAAAGACAAAAAATATAGATATATATATTGTCACACTGTGAATCAGAGCGCAGAAGCGAAAAAAAGAAGAAGAAAAGAAGAGAAAAGAAAAAAGGGGGAGAAGAAGAGGTAAGGAAAGCTCCACCTGTTCATAACCTCTTACGTACAAGGCCAGTCGCGTGGATGACAGGTTGAGCGCTGGCTGCCCCCATCCCCATGTGTCATAAAGACCCACTTGAACGCAGCCAAAAGGCAAAGAGGTAAAGAAAAGGCGGAGGAAACCAAACCTCACAGAAGAAGAAAGCCTATTAAATAGACGAAGCAAGTACACATCCCACAGATAATCCAATTACCATCCCACAGAACATATTTTTCTTTTTTCTTTTTTCTTTTTTCTCAGGTTTCTTTTTTTGTGTTTTTCTTTCCTCCGTTTCTTTTTTTTCTTTTTTATCTTTTTACTCGGTTTCTTTTTTTATCTGTTTCTTCTACACTTCATCTGTCACCCCCTCGACAGATAGGACAACTATGGTGAGGATGACGGGGATGTTCACAGGGATACCCAAGGAGAATTGCGTTAGTGCAGCATTCAGTCGGACGGCTAGCACGAACCATCCCATCGAAACAATCCCGACATAGGACATGTTGCCCACATGCCAAGAAAACAGCAGGACGTTCGTCACAGTGCGGCATCATGCAGTTCTGATAGCATCCTTGGGAGCAGAAAGGACAACGTACATCTGGGTGATAGTGATGTGCACAATGAGGAAATGTTAGACACCCTTCCGCACATATGGCGACAGTCGCAATGGATTGATAATGGTGCTGACACAGATAATGCACTCCACAACCAAGACGCACCACGTCTCTATCCCGACAAATGTCGCACGAGAGACGCTCAACAATTCAGAACAGCGTATGATTTGACAAACCTCGCAAGAATTCATTTATGTTGACAATAACCTGAATCACCGTCCCACCATCCCACAGTTCCCACTGGGCTGCTGCACGAAAGAGGGCCATATAGTGCCCGAGTTTGTGCAAAATGCATGCAAAAATATGAGGACGGGCATCAAGGTCCTCGCCTGGCGTCCCATAGTTCATGACAAGGTGGCGACCGTGAAACGCTAACTGTAAGACATTTATAGTTAAGCCTCCTGAGGTTGTATAATTACTGTCCTCAGGAGGTAGACCATTATGGTCATACAACAACTCATTTTCAACAGCGTCAAGCTGATAAGCAATTGCAAGAAATTCAGATACAGTATAACCTTGACGCTGATAAGCTTGCAGACAAACATTCGCGGTTGTCAGGCCACAAATGTTTGGTAGATCTGTTCGCAAATCCGAATCGGTCACCACTGGAAGGCCCGGTCTGATTTGGCGCGGTCGGCGTTTAATTGACGAACGCTGTCGACGTAACAAAGCAGGTTGTCGGTCAGACAACGAACCAGGATCAATATGACGCCGAGAGGAAGGCGGACTAGGAGGTGGGGAGAATGAACGAGCCTGCCGCCGTCCTAATATAGACAACGAAGATAAGGGAAGGGCTGATCTCAGTCGACGGTGTTGATAAGAAGAAGAAGAAGAAGAAGAAGAAGAAGAAGATATATATATCGTCAAATATTAAAACAATATACATCATTGTTGGACAAGGCTATAACTCATGTAGTCTTCCAATCAGTGGTAGTCCCCGGATGGACCGGGGCCCCCTCCCCCGACCGGGAGCCTCCTGGTCGGACTGGCCGGTGGGCCGTCCCGGTTGACTCCCGGTCACCCCCACCGCATTTTGGCTGGGGCACCAAAAAAGAATTTGAATTAGCTGGGCGGCCTCTAACGGACTTACCGAGCTCCCCGCTACTGCCAAAAAAAAAAACTGGGACCGGAAGGCCCCTGGCATGAAGTCAGAGATGTAAATCAATCAATCTTGGCCACTGGTCTTGGACTCATGGTTGATCAGCGGCCAAGATCGGCCGCAATTGGAAGCAGCTGACGGCAGGAGTTCATTCGAACGCCCACACTTTGCAGCACACTTCCTCCTATCACAAGTCCTGCAACAGACTACCTCGCTTCGTCGACCATTCATCGAGAAGCGCACAGCGGGAGCCCGCCATGCCCCATCCTCGCCCGTTCGTGGACCACCGCACCTCACTTTAATAGAGGCAGCCATCGTTGCACCCCCAATATCCCGCCATCGAACGTGGCCATCTTGCACTGAACAACACCGTGCAAGGCCACCATTCAATAGCCAGGTTGGAGAGAGACACAGCGAGAGAGAGAGAGAGAGAGAGAGAGAGAGAGAGAGAGAGAGAGAGAGAGAGAGAGAGAGAGAGAGAGAGAGAGAGAGAGAG